TTCACATAGAAAAAGAAGAACCATATACATATGGGTCCGGATCTGGTCAGCAACCAAATTTTTTAATGATCTTGCATAACTTTTTTCTTCATTAAATTTAATAAGCTATATATCTTTCATTTCAATTTAAAATTTAATTTTTGCATATAAAAAAAGATTAATCTTGCTTTTCAAAATAACATGCACTTTGATATATTTTGGAATAAAACAATTGAAACATATAATATGACTCTATACCGTGATGCTAATGTTTGGTAGTACATGAGATTATACCATGGTGGTATAAAAGTGTACTATTGTGGTATGAATATGACATTGTGTATAATAATTATATACGTTATAGTATGAATATACTAACCACCATGTACCACCTTTACTACGATTAACCATAAATTTTCGTAGAAATATATCAAATTCTATAGATTATAATGAATCTATTCCTTACTGGTATATATATTCAAAATTTGAATTAAAAACAAAGATAGTATATAGTGGACCAGGTCTTATCAAGTGGTATTGAGTGGTACAAAATATTTTACTCAATATATATTTGTTTTGCTGTGGAAACTTCAAATTGTTGATTTGATTGATTGCGTTTTTTATTTCGGGAAGCCAATACAAAAATTTCTCGATTTACATCTCTTCAAACAATGTTGGAACTAGAGTGTTTGAGTTTTGTGAATCCATGTCAAATTAGGCTCCTCTTACAGAAAATGAATATATTACAATCAAACCCTTTATAATTCGGCTTCTTTTAAAAGCTCCATCTGCCGACCCTTCCAGTTCAAACAACCAGAAAGCTAGCCTTTAGTCTCCTACTGCGAAGAAGACTGATGACAGACAGCAACCAAACCCCAGTTCCATTTCCAATATGTCTCGATCGAAATGGTCTATAAATATATGTATGTTGCACAGTGTTTCTTAAACAAGAGGCAAAATACCATACAGGGACTTGCCAATATTTTTATATTTGCCAAATAGGGCAAAGATAATGGCCTTCTAACACTGAACAAAGTGGATGGAGGACCAACTGAATTGATCATGAGCCTAGGCGCTTCAAAAGTCATGCCTTGGGTGACACTCCTGTCACCTTTTGAAAACCTCCCCCACCATGCACCATCAACTGGATTAGCGTAGGACTTAGGAGGGTGATTAACAGCCATAATTTGTGAACTGCTGCAAGTAGTGCTGTCAGTTTGGTTTAGTTTATTGTCAAGAATCAGTTGATCCCAATCATTCGAAGTAATTGTACATATCTTACTCATCTCACAATTTGATATGAATTACTCGTGATTCACTCGGTTTTTGGGACATTATCATTATGTAGGAGAGGTGGCCGAGGGGTTCAAGGCGTAGCATTGGAACTGCTATGTTATTGGGAGATGTTCAATTGTGGATCATATACCATTTATTGATACATTCTCTGAAACTCAATACGCTCAGATAGACTTGGATGCTTACTTAACAAAAAATAATGCTTACTTAACAAAAATTTAGATGAACGAGTAAACTCGTTATGTTTTAATATTAGAAAGATATATTTGAGCAAAATTTAGTAGATGGGTATATTTGTTAATTTATCAAAGTTGAGGGGTAGAAAATGCTATTAACCCAAAACTAAAAGGGCATTGCTATTCGTCGCCCTAAAATTTAAATTTTTTCGCCCTAAATCATAATGCATTGACATTTGTACCCCTATTTCCAATTTCAATCTCTAACCCCTAAACCAGTGGAATTCAAACATCCACCGATAACCAAGAATCGGTGGTGAGAGGGTCAAAAAAAGAGGCCGGAAATTCGATCGGTCTCAATTTCTGTCACGAGATCGGAGAAGGAACTGTGGTTTTAACCGCGAGAAATGAATTGGGGGTTTTCCCCGAAGCATGGAACTATTTGAACTGCTTCAATTTAGTGGATTCAGTACCTGGTTGTTGGAATGGGTTTGATTTTCTTCTTGGTTCCTCTTGTCTTTAGTTATTGCAGCACCAGCATAGTGAATTAATAGAAAATCTCAGAATTGTGTCTCTGTCAATGCTTGTTTGTAGGATCGGGTGTTGAAAAGGATTTTGCAGCACCAGCACATTAAAGTAAATTTAATATAATTAGGGATTAATGTTAAAACAATGATCACAGTACCTTCCCGCCGGCGTTCGAGTAGCAGCAGCGACAGCAAATTGGGTTTGGGGCAGGGGCAGAAGAGGGGAGGGGACGATTCTTTTTCCGGTGAGGGCGGCGGACGTGGGTTGGGAAAGGGATTATTTGGTTAGAGCTAGAATTGAGATTGGGTTGAGGGTAAATATGTCAATTTGTTTCGTTTTAGGGCGATAAAATTTGAATTTTAGGGCGACGAATAGCAATTCAGAACTAAAATAGTTAATTTTTTTTATCGATTTGGTTTCATTTAAAATAAAAAAAACCAATACCAAATTGACAATCCTAACTCCTCCAAATGCGATCAGACATGAGATTGATACAGTGTTCTTCTGCAATATATATGCATTCAATTCCCACAATCAATCATTGTGAGAAATTTGTTGGTAGCCACCTAAAAAAATTGTAAGCTCGAATCGCCCATTCGGATTGATTTTTACATGCTAAATATTCATGAGGCCTGAGCTAGTCTCGAGTCCGTATTGGCCAAGTTCCCTCATCATAAAAGAGAAACAGACATAATTCATGTGATTATGATGTGGCTTTTTGGTCTCCTTAACATACGTTGATTTGATTGGTTCTTCTTAGGAAAATTAAGTCCTAGTCTTGTATCATGTGTTGGGTGGGAGCGGTGATTAAGAAGATTAACATGATTAGTGTGTTAATTTTGGCAACATCAATTTGATTTGGACCCACTAAGATTGGATGACCCACTAATGAAGATCTCCTATGTAAGAAATTAGCTAAGGAGATGTCAAAAGGATTTTTAAACCCTAGCGTAATATGATGTGGATAGCATAGCTGATTAATTGGTTTGATTTGACTAACATAATATGCCCCCTTCTTCCTCACTTTCACGCATATGGTAATAATTACATGCAAACTACCCTAATTATTGGATTAATTAACACTTAATTACTTATTATTCTTTGCTCAACCATTAAGAAATTACAAATAAAGAAACAAAAAAGAGCGTACATACATAGGATCCATCGTGTACAATGATACCAAACAAATTCTATGCACGTAGACGTAGTAGTGGGCCAACTATAGTGTTCTTGTATTGGGCTGATGGATCACAACAATCTAACATAACAATGACAATAATTAATAATTAACTAAGAGGGATTAGCAAACCAGGTTTTGGTTTAGTGGTACTTATATTCTATCATATAATTAAGATGTAAGGACTTGGCAACTTGATGGAATTAATTAACTCAAGATTATGTTCCTTTGCTAATATATGGCTTCTCCTTTTCTGGTTCCTTGCTAGCTTTACTTAGTCTCCGGCTTTAGCTTCCATTTGTTTTAGGCATAGTGCCAGTAGTTGTTGAACTGTATTTTCCTAATACAAAAAGAAAAAAATTGAACTAGATTCATTTGGAGGCATATGATTTAAGCATAATGTATATTAGGGGTGGCTATACGGTCCGGTCCGGTTAAATTGGTCCGAATTGATCCGGTTCCAGTCCAGTCTTTTCGAGAATATAAGGACTAAAGATTGGATTGGATACAGTCCGGTCGTGACTCGGTCCGGTCCCAATTCGGTCTTGATTTTAGATTGAGCTTGTGGAGATTTGAGTGGTCTGAGTACTCAAAGGGTGAGGAGTTGGTTAAGTTTTGGTTGTTGGGCTCTATTATCCTGTCTTTATCCGATTTTTGATCTGGTCCAGAACGAGTTTTTTTTACCTCAAATCCAAGCCCGAAGATTGGATTGGATTGTTTGCTATCCGGGTCTGGTCCGGTCCGGGTTATACGCTTCGGTTTCGGGTAAAATCAAATAGCCCGGACCAAATAGCCAGCCCTATAATGTATGACTGATTTGTTGCAAATTTTAAATTCTTGACTTGACATTCTTTATATTGATTTGTTTAAGAACTTCTTCTAACGACTCGAGTTATTAATACTAAGTACTAACTAGTTACATTACTAAACATCTATTTTATTATATTTTAACGCGTTGTACACACCAATTCAGTAGTTATTTCAGTTTCACCATCATAAAAGAAAAATGATTCCTCCTACAAATTCATGATTGACTGAATGTGAGCTAAAGGTTGGACTTGATCATGTGTACTTGGTATTCAATAATAGTTGGAGTTAACATTGTAAAGATACAAGGTATATAGAGTGAAGGCATGGCAAAACCTTAATCATTGTCCTATATTGATTATTGCCAACCACAGTCACTAACCTTAAACCTCTAAAAGCATAATTTGAAGTTGTAGAGTAGTAGACCACCATGTCACCACCACCGCTGTCATGCGGCCTGGCCTGAGAGAGAGAGAGATCAGATCACACATTCATTTGCTCCAAAAGCATCATTAACTTTAACTTTCTAATTAAAGCTCTAACTTTAGTTTCTGAACAGATAAGTACACAATATAATACGATTAGCTAGAGTCACTAACATTTGTTCCCCCAAAAAAAGAACAACAGAAAAGAAAGGAATACTTATTGTCAACTTCTTCTGAGTTCGGAATATAATTTAAACCACTCAGAAGTAGGGAGACTGATAAATATATAGTATTGATCTGGATTCATGAGGATCGAGATTTGTCGTCTATGCCGAATTTCTTCTCATAATGGGAAAAAGCTTTTGTATATATATATTTCCAAGAAATATTTACATGAGAAATCAAGCTAAAAGGATTACAATTAATGGCAAACCAAAAGAAGAAACGGAAAAAAGGTAATAAGAGGACTAGTAGCAGGCATCCATTTTTTTTACCTTCTAAATGCCCACTAATTAATAGACCTAATAATTTTCAGAATTTGAAAAGAAAAAAAAAAAAAACCAAAAAAAGGAAACTGAAACCAGAAGATCAGGAAGTGATTAGTAGCAGTAATTACAGCTTAAGAGAGAGATCAAGCTTTTGCAGATCATCGTGTTTAGCCGCCGCAGCCGCCGCCGGCGAGGCGGCAGAGGAATAACTCGAGCACTGGCCGCCGCCTCCGTCGCCACCCCACCAATACCCACCACCGTAATTGACTTCGAACCTCCCAGCGGAAGAGGCCGGCGGCAGCTTGCCAACCGCCGGCCGCTGGTGATCACCCATGCTAACGAGCTGCCTGTTGTAGTTACTATGAGCAAAAGGCGGCGGCTTGTGGATGAGAGAATGCGCCTGAATCCCAAGCACCGCCGGCCTGTTGTTTCCTCCGCCGCCGCGGCCGTGCAGCGGGAGGGAGGCGATGCTCGGGTACAAAAGGGAGGAGGATCCCATGTGGTGAAAAGACGAGGGGGCCCTCATCATGAGGAGATGCTGGTGGTGTCCGCCGCCGCCGCTTCGCTTGGCGAGGGTTCTCTCTCGCTTGTGGGCGTTCTGGTGGCCGCCGAGCGCCTGGGAGCTGTAGAACTTCCTCTGGCAGTAGTTGCACGAGAAAACCCTCGCCGGCGGCTCCTCTTCCCCGGCCTCCTCCGCGGTGGCGACAAGGTCACGGGCAGCGGTCATGGTGATGTCGGATGATGAAGAGGAGGAGGAGTTGGAGGCAGCTTCGGGCAGCGGCGGCTGATGGCCTTGGCTGGAGAAGAGTAGATCCAGTGTTACCGCGACCACGCTGTCACCATGGTGCTGGCCATCATGCTCCAGTAAGCTGTCCATTGATAGCTATAAAGATGAAGGGAAGAGGAAGGAGATGGTGGGAGAGAGAGAGAGAGAGAAAGGGAAGAATATCATTAAGAGAAAGAGGTGATGGCTGAGAATTGAGATTGAGAAGAAGAAGTAGAAGGTAGCTTTGGCTTGGCTTAACCTAGGTAGCTAGTGTTTTAATCATATAAATATAATATAATAATTATTTCAGGAGTAGGAGTAGTACTAACTAACTGCACTGGGCTAGCTAGCAAGCAAGCTGGGGGGTTAAAAAAAGGCATGCATAGCTTTTAATTTTTTTTTATTCTTCTTAATTTTTTTTTAAACTATTAGGTGGTGATATTAATGCATATGTATAAGCTAAAATGTGGAGAACATTTTTTTTTTCTAAAATAAATTTGAACTGAGTGTGACCCGGAAGGTGATACAACTTGTGCAAAAGTTGTTTTTGGCTTATATGTATGTAGAATAGATGATGCCAATGAAAATGGAGAAGAATAGTTGATTAATGGATGTAAAAGCTTCAACTTGGGCAATGAAGTCCATACGATTAATTGCCGGAAGCCACATTAAACCGATGTAATTAAGGAGCCGGAAGCACATTTGACGAAAGCGGGTAAACTCCATTAGCTATACTTTTGACGAAAGCCCTACAAATCTATCGATATTGGAATGAAAAAACAATATCTTCAGAAGTCTCCGTCATTTACCTAATATTCTTGTAAACTAACCGGCTCTCCCGTTCACTAGAACTCTTTCTTCTTCAACTCCTCAACCAAATTCTAACACATTTGGGACCGGCGAACGGTTATCCGGTTAGTAGTGTAATTGGATAACCAAACCGAAATTGGAGGTTAACAGTTATAACCGATAATCGATTAAATAGTAAACGGTCGGTTTTCGGTAGTTAAATTATCTAATTACTGACAAATTATTAAAAGGTTAGTAATCAACGGGTAAACGGTTAATCGACTAACCGATTACAATCATTCTCATAGTGAGGACTGAAAATAATAGGCATTGATGAGCCGCAGACATACGCCAAAAAAATGGAATGTTTGAATCCCTACAAGATCTCTTACATACCCTAGTTGTAATAGTGACTTAAAGTCAAATGAGAATAATGTCAAACAAGGGCTTTTAGAAGGAGCACAATATAAAGTTGGATTTGCGCACAGTAACTCGATAACAATCAGTAACATTTAAACTTCCATGTAATTTGATGGAGTTCTTGTATGTTTCTTTAATCAAATTTGACGATAAAATTGTGCTATTGTGTACTTTTGTTGGATTGAGTTGATTATGGATTGATATATGAGGAATTTTATAATGCTTTAAAGTATTGGTGCTTTAGTTTTTGCCTTTATGGTACAACTTGAAGTTGTACGTTAAACGTTATGGTACAACCATTTGTATAAATCCCTTTATTATACAAACTAAAGTTGTATCTTTATATTATGGTACAACTTGAAGTTGTAGCATAGCATAAATGTTCAAATTTCCTTATGGTACAACTTCAATTTGTACTTTTGACGTTATACTACAATTTCAAGTTGTACTTTAAAACGCCAATGCTTTAAAGCACAGTAGAAGTGCTATTGATATATATGTCAAATTGTGTTTTATTCAATGATAACAGCTTAAAAAAAGGAACGCATGTAGAAGAAAATCTATAAAATTGCACAATTGATAAAATGAGGTGGACTTTTGTTGGTTAGGTTATTTTGGTATAACCTTGTCGAATTACTTGTTTAACGATTATCTAGTTAACCAACAAAATAATCGAGAACCGAACTATAGAGTTACGGTTAACCGACTAGTATAAACAATATGGTTAAGGATAAGCACAAAATACTTACGTTTAACCGAGAACTGACTAAACGATTTCGATTATAACCGAACCGATTTCCAGTCCTAATTATATTCCAAATCAAGATCATTCCCTGATTTCCGAAGTTCCAAATTTCTGAACCCTAAATTCAACCTACCAACCCTTTTAATTAGGGTTTATAATATCACTCCATTTTCATGCTTAGGGGGTACTATTTTTGTTTCCAAGGCTACATATATATACACCTCCCCCAGTCTCCCACCCCGCCTATTTCTCCTATTGTATTCCTTTGATGGCACGAATGCATGTACGAAGGAGATGATTCCTTTATATTTTAGTCATCAGGGCCTGCTTCATTATATACATTAATTGAGTCTGCTTCCCTCGTTGCCTCTGGATACTTTTGTTTTTGTCTGCAGGTTGGTATTGCATTCATAGTACGTAAGTAGGGCAATAAGATATGATACAGCCCTATTTGATTAACGACTAACTACTAAACTAATAATTTGACTTTAAAAAATTCGTAACAAAAATGTCAACTCCAGTCCCTTGTTAATTAGCTGGTTGCCATTTTCTGTCTGCTAATTCTTCCCACGAATCCAATATGTAAATTAAGCCTGCTGTGCCAGCTACGATTGTCAATGGTGAGTTCTACAAAGCCAGTGATTGATATATATGAAGGGATGGATATTTCTTTCAATCCCTTAAAAGCTATCTATATTCCCACGAAGTGGAAGCATACATATTGTTCCATCATAATAACCAAAACATGTACGCATGTGATAGTGATACATTGTAGATTGTTAGGCAAGTTCCCACTTTGTAAAATGAATGATGTGATATATATATATATATAGCAAAACGGACAAGAAGAGAGGAAGAATAAGGTCATTAATTGATCCTTAACCAGCACACAAATGCGTATATCTCTCCTGGCTCTTTTCTCTTTCCTTTAGGTGGGGTTTGAACTTTTGGCAACATGGGGTGAAACTTCATCATAACATGGTTCATCTGTCCATCAGACTCGTGTCAAAATTATATATGTTGCTTTGGTAGGGGCTTGTGTTAGAGATTGTCGGCAATAGTTTATGAGACCTTAGTACTCTCACATCCATATTTCATGGAGATTAATATGTTTATCTAGTACATGTCATGTTGGTGAGTCTGAGTTATAGGGAGAGGAGAGGATACTTTGTTAATCACACACACATGGTAGTCTGTATCCAATCAAATGATTAATAAAAGAGCGTATTTTGCTATCGAGTCGTCAGCTAAATATGTTCAAGTTTTGAGTGGCAACATAATATGAAAAGACGTGTCAGAAAAGAAAAATTATTTCTCCATAAAGGCCTGCTAGCTAGCGAGAGTGAGTAGTTTCTTTGTCACAACATACGAAAGCCAAAAGATTATGAGTTAGAACCACCATATATAGAGCATCACGAAGAACAAGTAGTTCAATGATAAAAGGATTTGAAATGCCATCATAAAATTTTTCAAAAGCAAATGAAATCGATCCATCAGTACCTAAGAAACCAACGAAAATACAAAATCGGTTGCACATTCGTGATCTATCTCCAGGATAGCACCATCAAATCAAACTAGGATACCACCTCTGGGCCAGATTACATCTTAATCACATCTCTGAGTTTCCTGGATTGTTGATGGTCGTTGCATTCTTGATGTTGTTCGAAATTTATGTCCCTCCGTTGTTAGCCATTCTTCCACGTAAGTTGTTAGTTAACATAGCAACACTTGGATTTGGAACAAAGTAAACACATAGGTGGCTTGGACAATTGGGGGAAGAACAAAGATCTCCATGCTTGGTCCGGCGGGAGTTGTCGCATAGTTGTTCGCCATTGGTTCAAACCTTTCATATGTCATAGCTTCTTATAAGCTTTTCAACAGTCAAAGAAGTAATGAACAATATTTTGCATTGGGCCACAACAAACTAGACATGACCTTGAGTGGGAGAGATTTCAACGATGAAGAATTTCTTGCAATGACAAGAAGCTACTCACTAGTCTCAAGTGAGAGAATTTCAGTTTAAGTAGGACTTGAATACTTAAAATAATTGTGTGCATGTAATTTGGGATGAAATTATGTATTAAGTTAGCTGCCAACAAAAGAAGGTGATAATTATATTTCACCGTGTTTATAAGATTTTTCAGAGTTTCAAATAATTTTGAATTTTGTCTTCGCTCGAAGTTGATGGAATTGAGATAGAAAATATTATTTGAATTGTATGAGAGTTTTGTAGTCGAACGATGTCCCATCCCCTTATCACTTGGTAAATGGGTGATGAGACCATGAGGTTATCTAAGATAACACCTGCCCTTAAGGAGGGTCTTTGTGGTTTGGGGTGGGGTGGGGGGTTCTGTTGGTAACCAAGAGCAGACAAGAATTAAGACCATCGTGATTATTTGGATAATGAGGTTATGATAGACCTTGAGTGTGTTTATATATTATTTGATGTTTTTATGGTGTTTCTTTGTGTTTTTCAAGGTTATAAATCACCCAAGACAAATATGGATTGCCAAGGCACCCATTGGATCAAAAGGAGGATGAGAATAAAAACTCATGGGCTAAAACAAAGATGGATTTGGACATCAAATGATCACTTTATGGCAAAATAAGTAGATATGGTAGTGCAGCATACCTAACTTAAGACCATCGTGATTTATTTGGATAATGAGGTTATGATAGACCTTGAGTGTGTTTATATACTATTTGATGCCTTTATGGTGTTTCTTTGTGTTTTTCAAGGTTATAAATCACCGAAGACAAATATGGATCACCAAGGCACCCATTGGATCAAAAGGAAGATGAGAATAAAAACTCATGGGCTAAAACAAAGATGGATTTGGACATCAAATGTGATTTATGGCAGAATAAGTAGATATGATAGTGCAGCATACCTAACTTTGACCGAGGTCCAACCAAAGTTATACAAGTCAAGACGCATCCAAATTTGTAGGAGAAGTTGCTTGTGGGCCAAGCAATCCAGCCGGCTTGGAAAACAAGTGACGGGTCCAATCAGCATACCCCCGTAGCTCAGCCTAAAACCACAAAGAAAGCTTACTAAAGAAGATACTTCATCCCCAAGTTGAAGGAATCTGAGTTGAAGTCGTACAATGAAGGTTTTGTCCAACTTTAGGAGGAAAAAGACTAGACCCCCCCCCCC